CCCTCGAGCCGTCATTAACTGACTGGCTATTTTCTTAACAGGAATCAAAAGCCAGAGTGAGCCTTTCAAGTGAGCTACGGTGAAGAAGCACACAGTGGCTGTACAGAGCAGCACATACAGTTAGTTATACCTATAAAACACCAGCCACTGATCCCTTCAGGTGTTACTGCAACTACTGTAGTTTTAATACCTGCACAGTTTCACTCTCAACAGTTCCCTGGCACAGATGTAAAGCTGCTCCATCAGCACTCAGAGGGAGCTAATGGAAGGATTTCTATTTCTGCTGTATGAATTTCTGCTCCACGGATAACTTAAGTGAGGAATTCTTTTTTATGTCGAGGTTGGGGTAGGAGGTGATAGTTTGATTGAAGCCAGCAAGCTAAAAACTACGTGCACACATGTATCAGCAAACCCTTAACAACATCTCTTCCAACAACATGCAGCAACCTAAACAGATGATACTAAACTATTTTTGATGATTCTAACGAAGTCTGAAATTTTTTAAAAGCAAAAAGGCACGATTTCTACTAGGCAAAGACCACTTTTCCTCCAAAAATAAATAAATAAATAAATAAAAATTACTCCCTCAAATACATTACGCAGACTGTCAAAAGTCAAAAAGTTTTGAAACTGAGCCCTTTAATCTGGTTTGGAAAACTTGGAGCCTGGATCTTTCATTCATACGAACAGGGAAATTTCCCTTGAAGTCGCTTGTGCCAGTTCCTATCAGCTCAGAGAATCTCTGCTTTGGGATTACAGAAATGTTTAATTTTTTTTTAAGGGGGCAGGGGAGATGGAATAGCAAGTCCACAAGCTGTGGCCCTGTCTAAGTATCACTGTGCCATGCTGCTTTGCCACTGAAGGTCCAGCTTCAAGGCTGCAGATCTGTCAGTGACCAAATTTGATGGACCACCCATTGGTCTTTTATTAAACAGCACTTGTTCCACCTCTAATCCTATCACTAGAGTAATCAAAGCTGCCATGTCCCAGGGTTTGATGGAACAGCAGGACCTGGGAAACGAAGACTGATTTTGTTAACAAAGTAATTTCTGCCTGCTGAATGCTGTCTCATTGCTAGAAAGTAGGGAGACAGGGTTTATTTGTGCAGAGAATGAGGTGGTAAAGAAATGAAAGGGGAAGAATGGTGAAGTGTGAAGTTTAATCTGGCACAGTCTAAGATTTCTTTCTTTGAGGCTGTCTCTGATCCAATCAACACCGGTTTGATATTTAACATCTCCCCCTGCAGTTTGAAATGATACCGGTCAGAGAATAACTCAGAAAACCCGACTAGAGGAGGAAGAGAAAAGGGGCTGCTCACAGCTCCCCTCTGGCCTAACAGCTCCCCGACAGATCCATCAGGATAGTCAGACCCTACACAAAATACCCCTTACAAACCCTGGGATTAAAGGCATCTGGCACTAACTGCCGGCAGACTCTCCCTGCAGTGAGAACTTGCGACAGAATGGGAGAAAGGTTTTATTTTTAACACCAAGGAAGGGACATTCACAATTTCTCAGCTGAGGATCCTGCTGTAGGGCAGGCTTTGAGTTCCAGCTACCAAAGCCAGTTCCGCAGGGCAGAGCGGTCTGACTCTCAGTGGGGATGAGATGTCAGCTGAGGACACACAGCAGCTGCCAGCCAAGGACACACAGCACCTGGGTGATGAGCAGTCCCTGCCCATGGCCCACCGTCTGCCCTCTGTGAGGGAAGGACTGTCAGAGGACACGCAGACCCTCTCCCTTTAGCATCCTCCTCACTCAAACAGCAGTGCACATCAATGTGAGGAGATATTTTTCACCACAGACCTCTGTGAGGGTCTTAAAAAGGAGGAGGAATCTGGAGCATCTCCTAACCTCAAAGCCCACCTGGCCCATCCTGCAGTGCCTCTGCCCAGGATCAAAAACAAGGCCCTGAATGAGCTCCATCTGCCTTGCCACCAGCTTTTCTCAGTCCTGGACCACTTTTTGCACTGTAAATAAGCACCTATTTTGTCAGACAGAAAAGTTATCTGCTGCTTCTTTCTGCGTTTTTTAACTTTTTCTATCTTGCCTTCATTGAAACTCTGAAACCACTTCTACCAAGAAGTGTTGAAATTTCAATCTCACCTACATCTGACTTCAATTCTCCTGTTGTCAGGCTCCCAGCTGAGCTCTTTGCTGCGATTTGGAAGCCTTGCCACCAGCTCTACAACACCCAGATTTGTGCCACCAGCAGCTGCAGAGCCACAGGGGAAGAGCAAAGATGCTCCAGGAATGTGAGCATCCCACTGCATTCCCAACGTGCAGTGGGAAAGCACAGCAACAGGAACAATGCACATTTGGGAAAGCAGCTCCAAACTCTGAGCGAAAACTCCAAGGGGGGTACAAAATCCCAAACTACAAAGTTTGGGGGCTTACAATAAAAAACAATGCATTGTGCTCTTACCTGCAAGAGCTAGCTCTCCAGGAAGCAGCCAATTATATCAGCCACCTTAATCTTTTCATCCGGTTAAGACAATCAACATTTCAAAGCGACGCACAGAACGTTTCAAAGATCGTGCCTGGTCAAAAATGCAAGTGTATCCGCTTTCTTTCAGAGCAGATCAAAACCAAGCACCACACCGGGACCACTCCTAGATTTCTTCCTCCTCACAGTATCAGATTAACAGATTCGGTGTGTGTAGTCAGATTAAATATTTGCAGTAGCACAAAGCTGCCTTTGAGGGGGAGAAGTAAAAAAGAAGGCTTTTTCTTCTTTAATTTGCTAAGGGCAAAAATACTGGACTTTGGGGATGGGGGAAACAAAAGCACTGACACGATTCAGCAAGGCTCCATTTTAAAACCTGAACTCTAAATGCTGGAATTACAAGCAGTGTCCCTGTAACAGTAATGCTGAAGACAGGTAAAAACTGCTGATGCCCTTAGCAGATTCAGGACCGTAATTTATCACAGCTGTTCCCATCAAACTGTGCAAACACCCTACAAGACAAAAGCTGCTCAATTTCTGATTTCCATTTTAGTGTGTTTTAATTATGTGTTGCTTAAGGAAGGCTCTAAGATGTGGAATTAGGAGGTGAAACCTAGCAATAGCAATCCACTCCACTAAATTAGCACAGTAATACACCGAGCAGTAGGACTGCCAGACAGCAGGATAACTTTACAAATTACTATTGTTAACCAACCAGCCAGGTGTCAGGATGCATGAAATCTCGAGGAAGCGAGAAAATAAATAACTGGGTGGTTTTGCTTAATGTTGTCTCATGGTGTTCTGGTGGCCTTGTTCCCAGAAAAAGCTTCAGTCTAGGAAAAATCCCCCAGCACGCCAATGCGCAGAAGTAGCAGTGTCAATTCTCTGCAATAATTACAATGTAATTTTTTGTATCCACTCAAACTTTTCTGCATAGACAATTTGCCTCTACCGGCTGGTGGCACTGGTACTTTGGCTGTTCTTTTCTCGTCTACTAAAATGAAGGGGGAAGTTTTGTTTCTGCTTAAAGCACAGCAAATGAGAGTAAAACAAAGTTATGGTGAGAGCAGCAGTTGTGTGAGATACTCTCTCCCTTTTCCTGTCCCTCTCACTGCTCTCTCTCACCTAAAAAGAGTGCAATATGATTCATTTCTAAAAGGTTTCAAAAGGTACATCTTTAACCAAGTGCTTTCACTTGCTTGATTCTAACTTCCATTTCTGACCTATACAACCACATGCTACTGATGTTTGCAGTGGTTAATTATTTTTACCTCACCTTGAAGAAGGAGTTCAGCAGCAAGGATAGGCACTTACACCTTTTAAACAGAAGAAAGTAAAACAAATTCCTTGCTTTGCATGCATGCTAACCATTGCAAACACTCAGGGGGCTTTTTAGACTTTTTTTTTTTATCCTTCTTGCAATCACCCCAAAACTGTACGCAAACAAATCTTCTCCTATGCAGTCCACAGGCAGAGTCAGTCCTCTAACTGAGAACATCAGATGATTCATATGTAAGTGTAAGCTGGACTCTTCAGAGAGTCCCCACTACAGGGGAGAAGGCACTCTAAGGACATTTAATCACACCAAAGATCAGTCTTTAATCCTTACTCGCACATCACCAAGAATTCTGTTGCTTGAACTAGGACAGTAAGATACAGCTGGAAAGAGCTGATTTAAAATTAATGCTGAAAGGAAGGTTAAAAATGAAATACTGTAACCGTAACTGACACCATTTTAAATTTCCTCTGGATTATTTGTTTTCTTCCACACACATTCATTTCCTGAATTTCTAGTAAATCTGATTTCGTATAAACAGTTTCACAAAGCAAAGTCAATAGCTGTGCCTGTGTTCCTGATTAATCCACTGAAATGAAATAGACCTCATGGCTTAGTATTTGGTTGTTTAAAGCTAAATCCACTGAAAAAATTCTGGAGTCCAGTTACACCAATAACTTTTGTTTCTTAATCTACATCCTTTTCTTTTTTTCTGAACTTTACCTGTTCTAAAATGAAAAAAGTCCATACGGATTGAGCATTTAATTTCCCCCAGACCGCAAGGACAACGTGTGCCCACTTCTTCTGACCCGCAGTAACTATTAAAAGACAACCAACAGTTTGCACATACTTAAATCTATTTGAACAATTGCTGAATTTCTATTTCCATTGTTCATGCTTTATCCTCTTCGTGACAAGCACTGCAGAGCTGCTTTATTTAAAAACAAACAAACAAAAAAGCACTTTTTACTCAACTCTGTCAACTGAGGAGAGGCGTGGAAGCTTCCCTCACAAGTGACAAGCCAGCAGACACACACATTCACACCCTGCACATTTGCCTCTCCAATAAATAATACACATGATAGATGCACAGCTCTTGCTGTGCACTTCACAGCCACTCCGCACGCAGCACAGCAGAGATCCAGCAGCCCAATGCAAAGGCCCACACTGCAACACACCTCACCGCAACAGGTTTCGGGTTCACCTCAGTAAAGCAACTGAAATAGGAGAGTGGCTCCCACCTCCTGGAACGAGCCGCGAGGCCCAGAAGCCTCCTTACCTGGGAGAAGTTGAGCCCGTTCAGCGGGTGACACTGCTCCTCCACCCTCTCCACCGCGCCCGTCGTCTTCTTCATCCTCTCAGCCTCCTGGGCGAGGTAGAGATCGAGCACCGGCACTCCTCGGGAGCGGATGTCGGTCTCTGTCAAGGAGTTCACCATCAGCATCACCCAGACGGGCCTCTTGCGCTCCCAGTTGCCGGCGATGGCGTTGAAGAGGTAGTCAGCGTAGAGCCCTTTGCCCCGCTGGTCCGGGGTCATCCAGTGGGGCAGCATCAGCTTGATGTAGTCCAGGTGGCGTTTGAGGCGGCGGTAAAGCTCACGGGGCAGCACGTCCTGCAGGTTCTCCCCGTGGGGCAGCATCTGGCAGCTGGCCAGCCCCGAGATGGTGTAGGGGTCGGTGAGATCCAACTCGAAATAGACGCTGGAGCTGGCGTGGAAAGCGGCCTTAGAGTTGTCGGGGATGAAATCCCACACCCGCGTGTAGGGCACGTGGATGGTGCCGAAGAGATAGGCGGGGGGGTCGCGGCGGATGGTCCAGAGGAAGGAGTTCAGCTCTCCTTGCTGGGGGGGAAGGAAAGCAGAGGACGGTCAGTGGCAGAGGGTCAAGAGCCACTGCAACAAGAACGAGCAACCCACGGGTGGCAGGGAACGCTGCGGGACTGTCCAGCACAGCCCCAGAGCAACACGAGCACACCGTACACACGCTATAAACACACTCACACAGCCCACCAGCACACCGCTCCCCTCACACGGGGCACCCGCGCACACCTGCGGGGCCACGCGCGTCCGCGGCGCCGCGTGGGGCAGCGCGTGGGGCAGCGCCTCCCCCGCGCCCCTCTCCACCCCCCCGGCTCCGCGCGGCCCGGCTCACCGAGCGGGGCAGGTCGCACTGCCCCGTGTCCATCTGCTCCCGCCGGGCCGCGGCGTCGGGCAGGAAACCCCCGAAGACGAAGCAGATCAGCGTCAGGTTGAGTTGCATCCCGCTTCCTCTCGCTCTCCTCTCTCTCTCTCCTTCCCAGATGAGCCTTTTTGGACTTCTAGGATCCTTTTTTTTTTTTTTTTTTTCCCTCCCCCTCCTCCTGCTCTTCCCCCTTTTTTTTTTTTCTTTTTGGTTGCTTTTTCTTTTTCTTTTTTTTTTTTTTATTCAAACAAACTTTGCCAGTCCCATCTGCATCTGACAAGTGCAGGGGGAAGGACTGGCCGCCCCCTCCCTCCCATGCTCTCCCCCCTCCCGCCCTTCCCACCCCCACCCCCTCTGGCTCCGGGCTTGTCAGAGGCGCTGGATGCTTTGGGGAGGACGGTTCTCATCGCCAGCCTCCGCCATGCTTTGATTTTGCAGGCTGGAGAAGCTCCCTTCCCGCCCCGCCGGTTCGGGAGGAGGTTGGGAGGGGAGGCGGGAATTAGCCAAAATAATAATAATAATAGCAATTAAAAAAAAAAAAAGAGAGAGAAAGAAAATTCAGCACAGCGGCGGCAAAGAAAAGAAAAGCTCCCACGGAGCCCCGGGCCCGGAGGACGCTGCTCGGCGGGGCGGCGGGGCGCACCGCGCCGGGGAGGCCAAACTCGGGCTGCGGCGGAAAGTTTCGCGCAGCCGCCCCGGCCCGCCCGCGCCTCCCGCCGCCGTTTGGCCGGGCCGCCGCCAGGGGGCGATCGCTCCCCAGCGCAGCTGACGGAGGGGCGGTGGCGTCCCGCCCGCCGGCTCAGCACCTGCGTAGCGCTTCCAACGTGGAGTTTGGAGCTTCCCGTCCCGCACGGTGTCACACAGTCACCCACGTGGGGCTCGTCCCGAGAAAGAAAGTCTCCTGAGGTTGCTCACAGCCTTCCGCTGGCTGCCGAGGCGGGAGGTGACATGTCCTCACAGGCGCTGCCTTCCCCGCCCATCTCTGAACATCACTGTAGCAGAGGGCACATAGAGGATATGCTGGCTGCCCTGCTTTTCAGCCATCCTCGCCATCTTGGCCACCTCAACGCATCACAGGGATCAAAACAAACCCCTCTGAACGGTTCTGCTCGCATCGCTAATTACACAGCTTCCACTCAGGAGGAGTCTACGAGACACAGGTTAGTTCTTGCTGGCAGCACAGCCAGGATCTCTCTTTGGATGTCCCTGCAGCAGGAGCCAGGGCAGGCTGGCAATGTGTGGTAGCAGCTGTTGGCACGAGGTTACCTCAGCATCCTGTCAGAGCACTAAGCACCACAGAGCAGGTGGGATCCCAGTCTTCCCATCACATCTACGACCTTAAAACTTCCCCAAAACTGCTATTCATGCTATTTGGAGAAGAATCAAAGCTAGCAGGCTTTCTTGGTGAAATATTAATTGCTAGTACCAGACAAAGTCCTGGGCTTCAGAAGTTTCTTGGCCATGGCAAAGAAATATTTCCAAGTGCTTCCCTGAGGGTGGAATAAGGGATAGAAGGTGGCAAGGTTGCAAAGTGCACGGATGACAGGGCAGTGCTGGTGGCCTGGTATCCCCTCAGGGGCCCACCTAGTAGGGACACCTCCAGTGATGTGACTAGCATGGAAAAGATGCCCAAAAGATGCTCTGGAAGACAACATGAGGCCTTCAGTCATGGGCACACGTGCTGTGAGGCAGGGCAACTATCCTCACCAGTGGCATACATATCAAAGCACCCAGAGCAAGAATAAACAAATATCTTTGGCTCTGTGCTCATCTTCCATTAGCCAAAAGGCAGGTGTGGTTGGGGGGGAGGGGGACATAGCCAGTTTTCCAGCCATTTCCCTGAACTCAACCCTGATGTTGCAAGAGCTGCCTAGCTGTGAAAACACAGCCTCGCCTTGATTTATGCTACTTGTGGGTAAGATGACTAAGAAAAAGGGGAAAGAAAAAAAAAAAATGGGCAGAACAGGACCAGAAATCCCAATGGGAACTCAGTGTGGGTGTGTACCAATTTGGTGGGACAGTCAGGTTGGGGAAACTCCAGCCAGAGCTGCAAGCGGTTAGGAAGAAGAGACCACAAACCACATGATATGTATCATGATGTGCCACTTCAGATTCAAAGCATGCCACAGTATTTTTGAACATTACTCTTAGGTACCAGGAAAAAGAAATTAATTCTTTTGTGTAATTGTAACAGTTTTTTTCTCCTTCAGATGAGTTCCATATGTCCTCATGATTTTTTTTCCTTTAAACACAGCAGTTTAGAACAAATCTTAAGTAACATTTAGCCTGCTCCTAAAGTAAATATTTACAAAAACATTAAATAATGGCTCTGATCTTTGGAAAATGTATATTGCTGCCTACCTGCTACTGTTTTGTTCCTATCAGGAATAATAGAGAAGCTTTATCATAACCCCCAAGGCTGTAAAAGCAGTATAACAATGTGATTAGCAGTAATCAGATGGGAAATACTATTAAAAGCTTTGAAGAGATAAGAGGGATAAATGGCAAAGAGAAGGCTACGTTATTTTGTTTTTACGCATTTCCAGAAATCTAGTGGGGGAAATAGGCTTTTAATCTCACAAAAGCTGTATTGTTTTTTTGGGAGCATAATAGCGTTGTCTGATATTTATGTCATGTATCATCTTCAAAGAGCTTTCCTAAATAAATATTAATCATTTCAGCAACCACTTAAAGGCAACCACTTCAGGGGTGCAGCGAGGCAGTAACTTAACAAGTAAGTTGTAGTAAGCCAGGAAGTGAGGACAGCCAGATTCAGTAAGGAGCCCATGTGGGTACAAGAAATACTTGTGGAAGCTTTAACAATATCTTTAATCAGGCAAAGCAAAACCCCCTGGAATAGAAGGTGTATTTATTTGTTAGTGAGAAACTGGCATCAGAACTTGTAACTATGGTGCCTGTGGTGAGTTTCCAACAGGAAGGAGATACTAGCTCTTGGAGGAAACAGTTTGTGAAGGATCAGTATCTATGTGCAGGAAAGTGTGATTTTTTTTTTTTTAAATCAGAACATGCTCCTTACAGGGCTAACTACCCTTTTGTCTCTTCTCTCACCTTTACTCCCAGCTGAAATTCTGTTGGCTTGTGTGGTACCTGTATTTCTATCATGCTGTACTTTCTTTTGAAGTATTTCAAAAAGCTTACTGGATTTTAAACTCTGTATTTCTTACGCTTTTTCCTTTAAAGAGGGACTCTGAACCACACATTCTCCCAGAAGTCATGCTGTGCCAAAACTGGAAGTCTGAGCTCAGCTTTTCCTTTGTCCTTTTTCTACAAGTGAAGCTGAAGGTGTCTTTTGCCATTTCTGGGGGGAGCAGAGAATCCCTCTTTTTGTATGCTGTGGATCACAGAATAATTTTATTTCTAAGGGATGTCATGAGCAATGTCATCCAAATGGCCTTGCTCAAAGAAGGGTTAGACTCCATATCTGATCAGGTTGCTCAGATTCAAGTAAGAACCCTAATTGGATTTCTGTCTTATGCACAGATGGCATAATACATAGCTGTCTTGAACTCATAAGTTAACAAGCCCAAAGCATTTGCACTGCTAGCTGTCATGCCATCACCTGCTATGTGCCATGACACCTGTGCTGTGATGCATCTAGCAGGTAAAGATTTCCCTGCAGAAGATTGATTTTGATGGTAGCAGTTGTATTCATGTGTAACATGAATGTTCAGTCACATAATTCATGATTCAAAACACACAGCTGTCAGAGGAACAAGCCTCTGCTTAAGGCTGTCAGACTGAAACTGCTCAGTTATCATAACTGTGTTAACATGTGTTACGTCTTTTGTTTGTATTGCAACCAATATGATGTACAATGTAGTATTGTTCTCAGTCTTATGTGTTTCTTGCCTGTTTGTCCTCATGTGTCCAACTCAGCATCTTTTGTCTCAGAGTTCCAGAAACAACCAGTCTAGTTCTTGAAGAAAATCCCCTCTGGATCCTAACATCCTCCCATCTGAGGGCCAGGTATGAATTTTGCAGACCAACTAGTATTAATAGCTTGTATTACATTTTGCAAAGTCTCACCTTGTGCTGTGGCCCCTGCAATGACAGACCACATCCTGCCTGAGACTAGGCGTGTAAATACACTAAAGAAAACCTTTCCCAGTGTTAGATTCTGCTGTGCATTCTCCCTCTGTATGAAGTTTACTCTGTGCTGGTGTATGTATAAGTATTGCATGTGCATACACCTAGGAAGGAATATGTGTATGTGTATTTATTTATATGCATTAGTGTGTTTACATACAAAAATATATGTACACTCACATACACAGAACAGTGAGATAGGCGAGTGCTATTAAGACTTCACTAAATGCTTTCCAGCTTTTGTTCTCTCATTCTCTCAAAGATGCTCTGGATTTGGGCCAGTAGGGACAGAAAGAACCTGCCCTGCTGTTCTTCTACTACAAGTATGGTGAATCCCAACTTTTTGAGACCTTTCATCTGCAACTCGAGCCCTTGCATTACTGTTCCATCCCTTAAATGTATTAAATCATAGAGATAGCGAAAGAAATGTCCAAAAGCAACTTATCTACCCAAGCAGGAATAAGCTTTTTGCTGCAAAAACCATACTAAAGAAACAGCTACAGTAGATCTTTTTCCTTGAGGCCTATTAAGCTGAGATTTCTTCCTGTTCAACATAGTTCAATGTGCAGTTCCAGAAGTTCTATTTAATTTCATAAACAGTTTGAATTCTTTCTGGAGAAAAATGAGAGTTCAGCTGCTCCGGAGCTTTAAGGTTCAACTGTTCAGCAACATTCATTTTGTTCTTCTGGTTTCCAGATTGCCATCACTTTCTACAGCCTTGATATGATTTTATGTTTGTTAGTGTGTATTGGTGAGAAGTCTGAGAGAAGTTTCATTAACGGGATGATTCTTCATTATAAAAAAGATAAACCAGCCTTCCAAGACAGAATCCTCCTTCAGAAGTGCTGCGTGTGACTTTAATTCTTTTAACCCAGGGCAGAATATCCCAAGAAATTGCAATTAACACAGTGACTTGAAAAGCTGGTTTACTAATGGCATTCTTGCTGGAGAGTCTTCAAACATGCATTGTGTGCATGAAAATGTGATTCTGGTGATTTGGTTTAAAAACTGCTTTTTTTTTTTCCCTTTTGGAACTGGTGGAATATGGTGCACTTTTGTTGTGTGTATGGGCCTGCTCCTTATTAAACTCTTGGTACTTTTTCCAGTAACCACTTCAGTGCTGTGAATCAGCAGAAAAACACCATCTGTCAACTGGATAAACAAAAGTCTCATTAGCTGGAAGCTTAATAGATCACAAAGTCTCACTAAGTTCATTTTTATTATAATAAATTTCACCATGGAATATTTTCTGATGTCACATGGCAAAACTGCCCTAAGTAAACAGCAGCTGCAGCATTTTTTTTATTATTTATCTTAGTGTTTTGTGAGCTTAACAATAGAAGCTGTCCAGGATCTGAACTTTTCTAATCTCAAAGTGCTGTATGTGTGACTGCATACTTAGTTTAATGTATCTTAGGCAAGTAGGCTTATAACAGATCTTATCTAGCCATATGTAGTTTAGATCAGTATATCCATCATCTAAACCTGATCTCCATATCACTTAAGAGTGGTCACGATGGCTAGAGCTCAGAAATAACTGCCAACCTCATTTGACCCACCTTATGCCCAAAACTATTTTCTGATACATTTTCCATAAACTTACATATTTGGGAAATATTATACATTACGTATATCTAATGCATGTGTACATACATATTTGTATTATAATACCATACATAGTATAGTAGACATAGCTAGTATAACACAATGGAAGGCATAACAAAGTAACAGAGTATCAAGGTCTTAAGCTACAGAGAGTCAGGATAGGCTCAGGTATAATAGCAAAAGACACAGAAATAAAGAAAAAACTCTACTTACCCATGGAAAGTCTCAGATGCATAATAACCTGCAGACAGATGCCCTTACCTCCCTTGCCAACCCTTAAATGAGGTCTGGAAAGGGCTGGATCCTGGCTCCACCCCTTCTAGTCACTCAGCTGCATTGGATGCACCTGAGCTTCCCTGGGTTCCCACCAGGTGCTCCATCACTGCTTCAAGCTGTGACTTAGCATTCCCACTATAGCTATATATTATACATAAAACTGTATTATTTTGTACACTGATATTTCCCATGTTGGAGATTTGAAGTATCAGCAGTAATAGCTTGGGTCTTTCCTTTGTGTCCAGTTCCAATTTTCCTGAGCAGAAGATGGGGCCTACTGTCAGATCCTAGGAAAATTCTTCCAAAAATGGCCACTTTCCCATTCCTAAACTATGGCATTCCTCAGGGATGGTCTAATTGATCTCCACATAAAGGTGATTGGACTCTTCAGCTACCAAGTTTCACCACGGTGCTCTCTTATCTTCAGAGAAGGGTCATTCAGACTCCCTGCTATTTCAGAACAAACACAGGCAATGTTTCCAAGAGTATATTTGAGTCCAAGATCCATCCTGCGTGAGACTGTGGTTAAGACTGTACCAGTTCACATGATAGCACAGAAGGAGCAATCCTGCCTGGCTGCCTCCTGCATGGCCACCAGATGCTTTTTTGGATCTATCCTCTGCATACTGTGTTTTAGTAACTGTCCAGAACAATGTGTGCTCTTGCTCCCTGCATCTGTATGCAAACCTTCCATATAATCCAAAGCTCACTAAAAACAGTGAATAATAAATTTGCCTAAGAAGTTAAAAAATGAGAGATCACTCGACCAAGGAGAACTCCTGGGTATGGTGACAGTCCCTGAGGCTGCTAGTTTGTGCCAGCATGGCAGCAATGCTTTTGCAGGGTTGCCACATAAATGGTTTTCCTTCTAGGTCTAAATCACAGCCTGTGGCAGTGTTTCCTGATAAATGGGCTGCTGGAGCCACTGCAGCCACTATGTGTTATCCTCTTTGTACATAGTCATCTAGACCACCTGCTGTCTCCTGAGGAAAGATAGTGGTATTTAGAAGGCAGTCCTACCCATCTCCATACTGTACCCCTCATCCTTTCCCACAGGAGAAAATGGCAGAGAGCTTTTCAATACCTGCATTATTCTTGTAACACTACCAGTTCTCTGTCCAAATCCCTGGACATAACTTTGCCCTATCTTTGTGAAGCTTCAGATGAGGAGCAGGACATGTGTGTCTGTTACACATCCACTCAAATAGCGTGGCAAAGTTGTCTTAAATGTTTCTTCCACCTGGAGACAACTTGTGGTTTGATTAAAGCATGTAAACGTATTTAATCATGAGAAAGAAGCAGATCATAGTAGTCTTCTGTTTTTTTTTTTTTTTTTTTTCTCCTGCATAAGTCAAAGTGGCTTATATATTTGAGATCCAGCTGTGCTTGCTTACATCTCTGATACTCAGACTGTACTTTGAAGCTACTCCTGCCCTGAAATCACACTGTGTATATCCATTACAAGCTGTAGGGAAGAATTAATCAAATAAAACCTGCTGCTATGCTAAAGCATATCACAACTTACCTATCTCTTCTTACATATCTTCTGATTATTGCAGAATTGTAAAGTCCCTTTTTTGTTTCTTTGAAGCAAATTTACAATAGCCCCGGTAATTCCTCTGCACTTGAGAAGAAGTAAACCTTTTCCACTGCTGCAAGTCTCTAAAATGTCTACAAAGGGTCCTCTGCTAAGCTCTGTCCTTATGGTTAGCAAACATTAGCTGTGAACTGGAAGTTAGCTGGGTCACCTTTTATCTCTGTGCTAGTGGGGTACCAACATCAGCTCATCTCAGATGTTATAATTTTAAGACCTTTTTTTTCATTGCAGTAGTTTTTCCAAACATTTTCAGCACACAAAGAGAAAATAATGTCGGTGTTTTGAAAGTATATTTACAGTGTATTGTTGGTCCTCATTTCTGTCAATCTCGTTCAGCTTGCCTGCATGAGAAGTTAGGCTAGTTTCTCCTGATGTTTACTTTGGTCCTCTGGAAAGCAACAAGGAAGCAGGAGAGGAAAAAAGAACAGATGTAGAAAAGTATCATAAACTGACAAGAAGAACAAATTCTTCCCACTTTTTCAGAAACTAACTTTACTTTCATATGTAAGCAGATCTTGCAGGCAATGTAAAAGCTGAGTTTAGCTTTCTGAGCAGATCCTTTTATTGAATCTCTACCTATCAATGCCTAGCTCAAGTGCACAGCCCTGTGATGTTAATTTCTCTATAAACACGAAACATAAGAAATGATCATGTGTATATTTTTGTCAAAAGCAAAGAAATATAGCCACAATAATCAGAAAAGTTTTCAGAGTGAAGTAAAAGAAGAGTCTTTCTTTTCAGAAGCAAGAAGTCAGGACTATTTAAATTTCACTAGGATGATGTTCATTGGGATCATCAGTCATACTTTCTTCTGTTTTTACTAACTTACACATCCACACAAAAAATGCCTTTCACGGATGAAAAATATCTTGCTTATTCACAAGCCCCGTAGAAATAAACATTATTTTATATATATGTACTGCTAGCAGCAAGGATTTTATTTTTCAAGCAATGTGCCAAGTTTTCATTAGTCAAAGTGTGAAAAATCCCATTTGCTCTGTTTTGGAGAGTTCATACTGCAAGCATTTAGAGAGTAATTTACTGATCTTTCAATCAGTGAAGAAAGGATCACCCTGGGAGTTGGCCAGCCAAGTGGAGCTCAAGGGTTGTGCTTTTAATCCTCAGCTTCTTAACCCTCCCTTTGCTAGACTTTGGGCAAACTGCTTCATTTGTCCACATCTTGAATGCCCACAGACAAGGATTAGGCTTTCCAGTCATTAATTTGTTCAGGAGTATAAAGTTAATATATATCAGATGCTAATACAGCAATAGCCATTGGTCAGACCCTTCAAACTTGCCATCTAGATAAATGGAGGCAATCCAAGGTCTGAATATAAGTTTTGAACAAGCTCCAGAGCACAACCAGGGCGAATCTTTGGTTTCACTCTACAACATCACATGCAAGAAGATATTCCTGTGTACTTAAATCTCTTTCTGGAGTCCAGGTCTTTTCATCTCAAGCCTACTTTGTTTCACAGGTGATAAAGAGAGAGAACTGCACTGCAGTGTGCTCTCTGAAGAGGCCACTTAGGAGACAATAAAGAATCATGGGGTAAGTAGAGCTATCCAGGGACTGGCTTTAGTTTGATAGATTTAACTCCATGAAGTTGTGTAGAGGTACCATGAATATGTAAGCAGAACATGAGCATGAGGTGTTGTTCATACCTATGCTGGGGTCTTCTTTCCCATATTCCTCTGTGTAAAACAGGAAAAGCATAAAAGCCAACATGAGTAAGATCAAACCCGCTGCTTATTCAGACATAAAATATTCCCTGAGTCCCCAGAGTTACATGAGCTAGACCTAGGAGACTGCTTTCTTTCTCAGAAATGATGTTGCCAAGTTCTGGACAGAATTTACAGAACAAATCTCTTGGTATTGTAATTCATTGCAAAGGAGACCTAAGTTTATCAGCTGAATTATAGATGATGGAGCTTTATATCAATTCTTTACATATTCTTTTTGGCTTTTTTTTGTGTGTGTGTGTGTGCTTGTTCCTTCTCTGCCTTCATCAAGGTGCCTAGTGAAAGACTTAAATCCATTTTCACCCTCTTTAGAGGCACCGACAATAAAGCAAATGAAATATTATTCTTTCTGAGTAGTAAATTTACAGCAAGCAATAACAAATCCATGAGAATTTGTATGGCCTTTTGCCAAAGAAACCAAGGATTTGAATCTGTATACTGAAAAATATATGCATATCTATTCTGGTGTTTAAGGAGCTGTGGGAAATGCATTTTTTAAGGGAAAAGAGAGAAAAGTAGCCAAAATCACCTACAACCCTCCTTTTAAAATCTGAAAATCATCAGAAGGTTTAATCTTTATGAAAATTTTCTAACGCCTTTATCTCTCTCTCTAGCTATCTGAGGTAATGAAGGTATGACAAGAATGAAAACTTCATACCATCAAGCAGGCAAGATTCCTACTGCTCATGGGACAGTGTGACCCAAAGCTCAGTGTCAGTGCTGAGATAAGAACTACAAGCCTTACCAGATCCTCTCCTGAAGGAGCCATAGAAAATGGTGAGATATTTCCTTCTTTTGAACTGCGGCAACATGTATCAGCACTCATGAAACTAAACTGCACCTGGTCTCTTGCAGATTGCTCGTTTTCTTTTGATAGTTGTCATCTTGCTGCCCAAAATGCAATGTGTTATCCTTTCAGTAAGCTGCATGTTCACCAGCTAACTGTTCCACTGGATTTAGTTTACCCCTCCTATTCTTCCTTGGTTACTTTTCTTGTGCCTTCGTCATATTCCCAGAAGAATAAATGAGATACCAATATCAAACCAACCCAGAGCCCACTGAGATTTCCTTCTCTAGACTTGAATACGTGTTCTGAGAAACCTCTTGAGAATGATGACTTGCTACTGCAGTCTTTTTTTCCCTTGTATTTTCCAGGCAGCTCTGGTCTACATGGCTCAGTGGGCATGGGCATCTCTAAATGGGCACAGTTGTGGATCATGTCTTTTACTAAGCTTGCTCTGATATTTTTGGTAAATTCTCGCAATGTCCTCACCAATTCCATTTGGCTGTGCATGTGGAAGTCTTCACACATGTCTGCAGTCAAATGCTAGCCATGTTTTCAATCAACACGATTCATTTTTTAAATTATGGCTCTAAGAGCTTTTCAGGCTGTGCTGACAAGCCCGGTACTTAA